ACACACAAACACACACACAAACACAAACACACACACACAAACACACTAACACAATTATCCTGGCGAAGGATCCAACCATATGCAATTGTGAGTACCGCAATTGTGAATATCTTCTTCGGTGGAGCCCCCTACGGGGCCACGAAACGTACGAGGGGTGTGCCGAAATGGGTGTGCGGGACGCATGCGGGCACACCCATTGGGGCCCTTCGGTGGAGCTCCTTATGGGACCACAAAACGTGTGAGGGGTCACGAAACGCGTGAGGGGTGTGCCGAAATGAGTGTGCGGGACGCATGCGGGCACACCCACTGGGGCTTTCGGCGGAGCTCCCTATGGGGCCACGAAACGTGTGAAGGGTATGCCGAAATGAGTGTGCGGGACGCATGCGGGCGGCAGCACTGGGACCTTCGGTGGAGCCCCCTACGGGGCCACGAAACGTGCGAGGGGTGTGCCGAAATGAGTGTGTGGGACGCATGCGGGCACACCCACTGGGGCCTTCGGCGGAGCTCCTATGGGACCACGAAACGTGTGAGGGGTCACGAAACGCGTGAGGGGTGTGCCGAAATGGATGTGCGGGACGCATGCGGGCACACCCATTGGGGCCTTCGGTGGAGCTCCCTATGGGGCCACGAAACGTGTGAAGGGTATGCCGAAATGGGTGTGCGGGACGCATTCCCTATGGGGCCACGAAACGCGTGAGAGGTGTGCCGAAATGGGTGTGCGGGACGCATGCGGGCGGCAACACTGGGGCCTTCGGTGGAGCTCCCTATGGGGCCACGAAACGTGTGAGGGGTGTGCCGAACTGGGTGTGCGTGACGCATGCGGGCGGCAGCACTGGAGGCCTTCGGCGGAGCTCCCTATGGGGCCACGAAACGTGTGAGGGGTGTGCCGAATAGGGTGTGGGTGACGCATGCGGGCGGCAGCACTGGGGCCTTCGGTGGAGCTCCCTATGGGGCCACGAAACGTGTGAGGGGTGTGCCGAATTGAGTGTGCGTGACGCATGCGGGCGGCAGCACTGGGGCCTTCGGTGGAGGGGTGTGCCGAATTGGGTGGCGTGACGCATGCGGGCGGCAGCACTGGGCTTCGGCGGAGCTCCCTATGGGGCACGAAACGTGTGAGGGGTGTGCCGAATTGGGTGTCGTGACGCGGAGCTCCTATGGGGCCACGAAACGTGTGAGGGGTGTGCCGAATTGGGTGTGCGTGACGCCATGCGGGCGGCAAGCCTGGGGCCTTCGGCGGAGCTCCCTATGGGCCACGAAACGTGTGAGGGGTGTGCCGAAATGGGTGTGGGGGAACGCATGCGGGCGGCAGCACTGGGGCCACCTTCGGCGGAGCTCCCTATTGGGCAACAAACGTGTGAGGGGTGTGCCGAAATGGGTGTGGGTGACGCATGCGGGCGCGGGCACTGGGGCCTTCTGCGGAGCTCCCTATGGAGCCACGAAACGTGTGAGGGGTGTGCCGAAATGGGTGTGGGTGACGCATGCGGGCGCGGGCACTGGGGCCTTCGGTGGAGCTCCCTATGGAGCCACGAAGCGTGGGAGGGGTGTGCCGAAATGGGTGTGGGTGACGCATGCGGGCGCGGGCACTGGGGCCTTCGGTGGAGCTCCCTATGGAGCCACGAAACGTGTGAGGGGTGTGCCGAAATGGGTGTGGCTGACGCATGCGGGCGGCAGCACTGGTGCCTTCGGCGGAGCTTCTACTATGGGGCCACGAAACGTGTGAGGGGTGTGCCGAATTGTGTGTGGGTGACGCATGCAGGCGGCAGCACTGGGGCCTTCGGCGGAGCTCCTATGGGGCCACGAAACGTGTGAGGGGTGTGCCGAATTGGGTGTGGGCGACGCATGCGGGCGGCAGCACTGGGGCCTTCGGCGGAGCTCCCTATGGGGCCACGAAACGCGTGAGGGGTGTGCCGAATTGGGTGTGCGTGACGCATGCGGGCGGCAGCACTGGGGCCTTCGGCGGAGCTCCCTATGGGGTCACGAAACGTGTGAGGGGTGTGCCGAATTGGTGTGCGTGACGCATGCGGGCGGCAGGCACCGGGGACTCGGCGGAGCTCCTTATGGCGGCCACGAAACGGGAACAGGTGAGGGGATGTGCGGTGCCGAAATTGGGTGGGCGTGACGCATGAAGGGCGGCAGCACAGGCCCTTTGGCGGACGGAGCTCCTATGGGGCCACGGGAACGTTTGAGGGCGTGTGCCTGAATTGGTGTGAGGTGCCGCATGGGGCGCAGCACTTGGGGCCTTCGGCAACTCCTAATGGGGGCCACTGAAACGGGATGAGGCGCTATTGTGCCGAATTGGTCGATTGGGTGTGGGTGACGCATGCGGGCGCGGGCACTGGGGCCTTCGGTGGAGCTCCCTATGGGGCCACGAAACGTGTGAGGGGTGTGCCGAAATGGGTGTGGGTGACGCATGCGGGCGGCAGCACTGGGGCCTTCGGCGGAGCTTCTACTATGGGGCACGAAACGTGTGAGGGTGAGTGCCGAATTGGGTTGGGTGACG